CATCTCATCTTCCAAACCTGACTTCCAGTGGTTCCCAGTGACCACCTGGCAGTTGCCCATGCCACCTAACACCTACTGGAGGGATGTCCTCTCTGGGCCTCACCGAAAAAGGCCTCTGTAGGCTGACATGGTGCTGAGGTCAGGTGACAGAGACCAAAAGAACCCACACCCTGTTTAACGGATCTTTTAAAAATGTAAATCTGCAGGAATATGTCTGTCCTTTTCATGTCTGAGACATAGTGGAGGGGTGGACTACAGAAATACTGAGAAAGGTTCACACAGTTCAGCTTTTATTAAAATAAAAGAATGGGAAACTAGAACATGATTCCTGTTAACATAATACATTTGAGGAAACGCTTCTCCAGCTATCACTGTAACTGATCAAGCAAGTGATAAGTGTTCTTTTACAAATTATACAGACCCTAAGAGTCATGCAGAAAACACCAGATCAAGGACCTCACCTGTGCAACGTGTTGTAGGGGTGCCAGTGATCAAGTCTGACTGCCACAGTGACACAGCACCCACACAGACATACACATTCAGTGTCTTGAGTTTTCTTTCAAAGAAAGTATTTTACACATCATGTACAAATTAAACAAGAAGTCCAACAAGAGTCCTTTATTGCCACTGAGGGGGGTGAAATAACTTACAATCTCATAACCAGAGGCAAGAACATAGCACTAGGGCTATTTGATTCTGCGAATGCCACAATCCCATGCACTCCTGCCATGGCTGATGCATCCATGAATCACTGAGTCCCATGACGAAGGCTGCACAGGGGCTATTGAGGCTGTGGTTATCCACTACGGAAGATGTCTCTTCCATTCCCAAAAGCTGGAACTGCTGCTGGCTCTCCTGCTTGGTCAGTAGACACACAGCACAGTGGAATATGAGGGGCTTAGGACCCTAAATAGTGCAAACACTTAAAAAAAATACATTCCAACCTCCTTGCTTCTCCAGGCAAACAGAGCCTTAAAGATGCCAGCTAACTGGAATATGAGTTTCTTCAACCTCCCAACTTGATCCAGCTAGGTGCAAATGGGGAGCATGGAGGCAATTTAAAATGGCACCTGTCCCAACAGTAATAAAATTAAGAGTTTAAAGAAAAAAGTGAGTCAGAGAAATACACACAACTTAGCCTGGGGTATAGGCACAGCTCAGGAAACAAGTTGTAAGTGTAGTGTGAGCATCTGCAAAGCACATGCTTAACACATTCTTAATGGGGATCATGACAATTGACCCCTCTTTTTGTTTTTGTTTGTTTTTTTGAGTTGGAGTTTCACTCTGCCGCCCAGACTGGAGTGCAGTGGCACGCGACCCCTCTTTTAAAGTTCAGAGACAAGATACTTCCAAAAGGGACATCATCTGGCAACAAATGCCTGGAGCCATTGGAAGCTTCAGAAGAACAAGGGAAGAGAAAGAGGAGAGTCTGCTGGGTGTAGGATACTCTGGGAGTATGTGTTGGAGGGCAGACCTTTCCCTGGGACTGCTCCATGCCACGGTGTGCCAGGCTCAGTGCCAGTCAGTGAGAGCCACCACGAGAGAGGCCAACCCAGCCTAACCCCTGCAGAAAGCAGACTCAAAAAAAAAAAAAAAGTAGACAAGCAATATAGCAATGGAAGTGGATAAGCACTGAGTCAAACCTAACATCAGTCCCTGGCAATTCAAACACCAGTGACAGTGTTTTTAAATTCAGCAGTCTCTCTTGAATATGGTATTTTTAAAAAGAAGACTTATTATCTACCTGGAGCTACTGAAAACCCCATTTTGGGAGGGGGAGAAACAAGGGAAGATAGTTATAGGCATGAACTACGTTTGAGAGTGAATGACATAAAGAACGTAACATTTCGTTATCATGGACAATAAAAGGCGATTCAAATACCTTGAAAAATTATCTTATAAAAATATCTACATTAATATTTTAGCCTAAAAGCTATAGCTTCAATTTTATAAAAAAGGCAATCTTTGAAAGATCTGGCTCAGAAATATACAAACATTACACAACAAATATCAAAGTAAGACAGCTCAAAAAGCATCTTAGGGGATATTGCAACTGGCTTGTCATGAAACAGAATTATGTCTTCTTATTGCATAGCAGAATATGAGGTCATTTTCATTTGCATAATACTGCAACTTTTTAGATGGAGAGATGCCATTGGGTACTTATGAGAAATAACTTTGGAATTCAGAATCTGACTTCAATGTTGCCCAAATCAGTATCCAAGTGGCGTCTAAGCTGCTTCTAACCTTGGGCCTCAAATTCCATTTCACCACTGCAATCAGATTACAGAGACACCACTGGCAAAGCTGCATTCATAAGCAGTAGTGGCTGTACTAATGGGGGCCAGGGGAGGTTTCACCTAATGTGTGACCAGCACAAACGTGAAGATAAGTCTGTTGTGTCTACTGTGGAGAGAGAATCGTACCTGGTGAGGAAGAGGCAGCAGTTTTTGGACGGCATCTGTGAGCAGCTAGAGCAGATAGGCTTTGGTGATGACATACCAGTGTTCTAGTCCCCGTGAAAAAGGACACATGAGGATGCAATGAATACAACCCTCAGCAGCACTCCCAGCAGAGGAAGTGCTTCATAGGAAGGGAGATGAGAAGTGGAACCAAGAGCAAAAATCCAGAAGCAGAAAACACGGCTGGCTAGCTTTCAGGGGAAGGACCCTTTCTGGGAAGGTGACACAATTTAAAAAAAAAAAGCCTCCCCTACAAAAGCATGAAAGAATAGCTTCTCAGTGGTGGAGGAGGGGATGGGGAATTCGCCTTTCACCTGAAATTGAGAGCTTGTGTGCACACCATACATCAGATCCCAACCCCAACCTCATCTCCACCACACACACACACACACACACACACACACACACACAAGCACACGCACACACACCCCTCAAAACTTCCTCAGAGAGGGAGAAAGGACATTTGGAATGAAAAGCTCATTCCATCAGCTTTCAACCAAGAGCCAGGGAGAGGTCTGAAACCACAGACATCCCCACTGCCAAGTGAGGCCAGAGCAACACAACTAAAGCATGCCTTGGTTCCTTTGGAGACGTTTCTTTGAGATCCACCAAAGTTAGATATTTTAGCCACTTCCCAAGGCTTTTAAAAATTCTGAGCACCTTGTTGATCTCCAAATGTCTTGCTGAAGTAACATCCGCTTAACATCAAATAGAGAAGTTTTGTCTTCAGGAGAGCAGTACATTTCATGTGCAGTAAATATACATGAAGGGGCCAGCTAGCTGGGGAGGTTCCTTGGTTTCTAACTGCAGGGGTGGGTAGGGGGTACTATCTCCTGCAGAATCTGCTTTGAAGTAGCCCAGCTGTATCAGAAGTCCAACATCAGGATTTATAAAGCCCCTTGGTTTCCTATAGATTGACCATGACATCAGGGAGGGTTAAATGCAGCCTCCCAGGTATGAGACTATTCTCCAGACAAAAGACATTCCCTCCTTATGCTAGAAAGTCCAGCATAAGCAATTTGCTAGTTTAGGAACAGCACACATTTAAGGTTTTGTAAGTGTGAATGACTCCAGGAGCCCTCAAATGCCTACTTCCTGATGCTTTAAGTTCTATCATTAATAATGTTTACCTGTGAACTAGCAAACCTCTCATCAAGTTCCTCCTTTAGAATGCAATCTCCCCCAGAAGAGATCTCAAATCCAGGGCCCGCTGTTATCTCCTTCCTTACAGGGAAAGTAGGGGTGGGGAGGTCCTGGGGGTTGGGGAGAGGGCACAGACCCTGGAGTAGGGGAAAAGCACACGAAAAAGAAGACAAGGACATCAGACAAACATGACTATCATCACAAAGTGCCAAGGCCCAGCTCCAGCAGTATATTCCTTTGAAGTCATTCAATGGCCATTTGAATCACACACCACCCTATCTAACACAGGGACAGACCTATCTTTGGGTTTGCAGGGAGGGTGGCCTTTTACTTATCCACCAAATCAGAACACTTTTGAGAGTAAAATAGGGGTGCAATGAATAATTAAGCCTGGATAATAAGTATAAATGGGGACTGTCCTGTCCTGTAAAAACCTAGAGGTAAGATCCCTCTCTGAGACCCTTATGGGCAGGGGCTGAATCCTTACCAATTTGGTTTTTTGTTTTTGTTTCTTTCTTGTACATGTTTGTTTGTTTGTTTGTTTTTTCCTCCAGTGTTACCCAGAGCTTCTCTGAGGAGACACAAAATCTCCCAAGCCTTCAATCCATGAAATCAAAAACCGGTGGCCCAGGCCTGAAAACTGGGCAGTTCTCCTCTGCTTCCTGGAGGAGAACCCAAGGAAGAACATTTGACTGAGGAGCACAGGGAACCTGTTTGTTTCCTAGTCCAGGACACAGGAGACACAGTGCAGCTTCAAGAATGCCCCAGCGCTTCTGCAGACAGTTACAGTAGTTGAGTAACACAGTGGGCATGTCCAGAGATCTGCTCCTTTTGCCAGTTATTTCTGGACATTCCCAGCCTGTCCAACTGGACCTCCAGAAGACAGCAGCTTTAGTAGTCTCAGGGTGCCCAGGGGACAAATCCAGAAGAGACATTTCTGTGATTTGATTTTTAGCACAGCAGAAGGATCAGTAGTAAAGAAATCCAGTAGACTGTCACACACCCTCACCCCCCAACTTAGTGAAGCATCATGTTCTACACACACACACATACATACACACACACACACACACACACACACACACACACACACACACACATACGTCACATACATCCCAGGTTCTTTCTTGTTCCTGTAGAAACACCAAGAAAAACCCAAAGGTGCTGCTTGGGGCTGTCAGAAACCCCACTGCTCAGGGCACCTCAGGGAAGCAGGATGCGGGTCACTGGTGTCCATACTGCGAGGACACAGCAGTCTGCCAAATCAAAGGGAGGTGGTTCTTGCACCCCCACAGGTCCTTCCCGGTGAGTTGAATCCAGTCATTTTGGTCCTACTGTTCTGAGTCACAGGAAGTACCTGCTCCTTCCTCCAACTCCTGGCAGTGGGAGTCTGGGTCACAAGGACTTGTGAATCACAGCAACACCTGATATGAAAGGAGGAGAAAGTTATCATCTTAGTTTCTCCAAAGTTATTCAGAGTCCCACTGAGTTCATTCATCCAAGACACCCTAAGTCATAGGGAAACAGGTACAATTTTTATCCTAACATTGATGGGTCTGTGGACTCAGGCTGCCAGCAGCTGGTGTTTCCTACTCCAACAGCCAAGTCCTGCAAGGTATTTGAACCCACAAGCACAGTTCCTCAAACACTCATTAATAATTCCCATTCCTAGCCCTAGCATCCCACTCAACAATACTCAGCATTCACACCGGAGGCCCAGAGACAGCTATGCAGCTCTAAATTTGTATCACTTTAAGGGAAGTACTGAATGATTCAAGTTTACTTTTAGAAGACACAGGGATGAACTGGAAAGTACAGTGAATTGGCTTCATAGAAGCAAGAAAAACCGAATTCCAGCCCTAGCTCTGCCACCCTCAACCTGCATTGTGGCCTTAGGCAAGTCCCTTTCCCTCCTCAGGTTCAGTTTCCACACTATTTAATGTCATCTAACTGAGAGGCCTATCCAGTACTAAGATCTCTACTTAAATGCTCTAGACACGTATATGTGTATTACTGTTTTCATCAAGCTGAACCATGCTTAGCACCCCACCTTGTAAATCCATATATGACCCCAAATTTCATGCAATGGACTGAGGCTGTGTGGCAGATACTACAGGTTGATTCAGAGTCAACATCCTTCCTACCTGCTGTCTTCTACTACAGATACCTACAAGTTACAAACTCAGCTTCCCAGACTACCTTGCAGCTAAAAGTGCCATGTGACCCAGTCCTGACCAATGAAAATGTAAATGCAAGTTGGCTGCTGCTGCCATGTTAGCTTTATCCTTTGCCCTGCTGGGGATACTCATGCAAGATCCAGGGGCAGTCACAGCTAATGATCAAGCTGGTAGGACAGAAAAGAGGGGAGGAGCCTGGTTCTTCAATGTCAGTCTGAGCCACCAGGCCAACCGTGGACTTCTCTCTACCTGAGACAAATACAGCCCCTTCCTTATTTGAGCAAGTATCTACCAGGTTTTCTGGTACCTGTTGCTGAACAAAATCCCAACTTACAGGGTGTCTAGGGGTAAGGTGGTTATTGGAGCATCATTATAACACAACTATAAAGTATTCTGATTAAAGATGAGATTGAAAGAATCTTGCGAAGAGCAAGTCCAAGATATCCCAGTGGAAGAGTTCTGCTAAGACATCTATTTCCCACTGATTCCTGGATAAAGGTGCAGATAAAGGAGCTTGGAGGCAGGCAGAACCTGAAGCCAAACCTGAAGTGCTATGTGACTTCACAACGCCCCACTCATCCCTCAGGCATCTCTTCACCGGATAGCTTTTTTTCTAAAGTAGGCTCTTGTGTTGCTTTTTTATGTAATCTTTCTCCTGTGATTATAAAAGTAATATATTCTCATTATGGAGACTTTGGAAAGGCAAGGTAATATAAAAAAAAATCTTTAATCCCTCCATACAAAGAAAATCACCATTGTCCTTTGGAATATGTCCCAGCTTCTAATAATAATCACAGTCATTTATTGCATGGTGTCTGGTGCCAAGCAGGTATGGCGCTAAGCTCTTTACATGTATTGTGGCATTTCATCTTCACATCAGCCCTAAGAGGCTAGTTCTGATTTTAATCTCATTTCACAAATGAGACACAAAGGCTCAGTCAGACAGAATACCTGGTCCAGAGACCCAGGGCTGCTGACAGACTTGGATTCAAATTCAGATCTGACTCCAATATCCATTTCCAGAAGGAGTAGCTATTCAACCTTTCTAAACAGGACTATATGACTGAGCTCACATGGTGCTTCAACTCTACATCCGTGTGTGTGTGTGTGTGTGTGTGTGTGTGTGTGTGTGTGTGTGTGTGTGAAGGTATCTCTCTTTTGCCCAGGTTCACCGCAGCCTCGATCTTCTGGGCTCAGGCAATCCTTCTACCTCAACCTTCTGAATAGCTGGAACTACAGATGTGTGTCACCATGGCATGCTAATTTATTTATTTATTTATTTATTTATTGGTAGAGACAAGGTCTCACTATGTTGCCTAGGCTGGTCTCAAATTCCAAGGCTCAAGCAATCCTTCCATCTTGGCTACCCAAAGTGCTGAGATTACAGGCGTGAGCCACCATGCCTGTCCTGCATCCTCCTTTTTTAACCGACTTGTTACAAACATTTTCTTATGACATTAAAAATATATCTACTATATAAATAGCTCATAGATTATTAACTAGATTCCCCCATGTCAGACATTAAGTAATCCTCAGGTTTTTGCTATGATACTTAATGCTCTAATAAACAACTCTGTCCATAAATCTTTGCACTTGGAATATTTCCTTAGATTTTAAAACAATAGACTCACTCAGTCAATAGGTTTGAACACCAAATTACACATTTGCTTGTCTCCTTCTCATCTACCTCTGGAGTAGGCAGATGATGAAGAAAGGAACATGAAATATTCAGCAAATGTACACAACTCTAACCACCCACACTTAACCCTTCCTCTCTCCTGAAGGCACACATGGAGCCGAGGGCAGCCCCTCACCGCCTCGTCCTAGAAAACACCCTGTTCCTCCCACTCCAGCTTCAAAAGAAAAGGATGGTGCCAGTTTTAATAATGACCATGAGAACAGAATCATTCTAGGACAAAAATGCTTCTAAAATATTTTCTATCTAGCCAAGAAAAATGTGACAGGGTGAGAAAAACTCTCAAGAAGCAAAACAGAGTAAGAAGTGCATTTCAATAGAAACCCTGAAAGAACGTCATACAAATTCCTTGGAGCCTGCAAGGCACAACCTTCCTTTGCACTGAAACCCTAACAAGATGGGGTGATTGACCTTCCCAGTGCAAAATGGGAGTAAGAAGAGTACCACTGGAGTAGTGGTGGGGGTTGAATGAGATAATGATTGCAAACTACTCAGCATGGTGCTTGGCACATTATGAGGGCTCAGTGACTACATTTAACTCTAACTTTCCCAGTCTCTGCAAGCCAGATACGAGGGGCTAGGCTATACCGTGGATGTATATTTGCCCCCCTCCCCATGGACCCCCAACCTCAGCAGCACCAACTCTGATGCCATCACTGCCTCTACCCCTCACCAAAACCCTCACGTACACTCCCTGGGAAGCCTCCACCCCAGCCTTGTCCCTTGCTCTGAAGTTTACCCTGAGCTGGGGTAGCACAAAGGATGTGGATTTAGATGGCAAACCTGGGTTTGGACTCTGACTTATTGGCTCTGTGGCCTTTGGCAAGTTTCACAAACTCCCCAAACCTCAGTTTCATCATCCACAAAATGGACAGATACAGTCCTGCTTAGCCTAAGAGTTCTGAAAAGACAAGAGTGAATGCACACACTGCTCCTAACATACTGCCACACAGCACGGAGTGGGGGCACCCAGGGAAGGCAGCTTTTTGTGTGAGTGTGGTCTACCCTCAAAGTTTAATCAAATCCATCTCCTCCAGGAAGTGTCCCCTGACTCTGCCAGTTCTCACTAGTCTGTCACACCCTAAAGCCTGTGCAGGGCATGTCATTTAGAAGTATGCATATCCTTTTATATGTCCTCTGTTGTGTGTAGGCAGGTCCTATCTTTCCAATTCAATTTCTGAAGAGCAAAATCTCTATCTGATGCCACCTAGGAGCCTGGCACAAAATAAACCCAGAACGGCAATGAATCAGGTGCCAATCAGACCAGCTGGAAGTGGCTCCCTGGAACACTGTGTTAAGAATTCTGACGCTTCACTTAGGTTCACGGGGAAAAGAAGTGCTAATTATCAGTATCTGTTGTGGACACGGAATGAAGGCGTGATGGCCATGTGACGATTATCTGTCATCCCTGGAGGAGGCACGCGGACCCAAGTTAGGCAAGCTCACAGCACCTCATCCCACCACCCCGCCCTACCCATACCCCTGGGGTGTCGGAAGCCTCGGGTGGGCGTGGGGATGGAACACACTGACCTGCGTAGCTCCGACCCGTGCTCATGTTGGTTGGCAGCAGCGTCCATTTGTCAGTAACAGGATTGTAGTACTCCACCGAAGCCAGGTTGCAGGATCCATCATCTCCTCCAACCACATACAGGAGCCCGTTGACCGCACAGACCCCTGGGAGTCACACAGAAGCCACAGGAGACTTTCTAGCAGGAGCACTGGGAGACCAGACTTGATGAGAGACAAATCTGGATGGCCTAGGAGGTTCCTTTCCTCACTGTGTGGTGGCACAGCAGAGATGTGGCTGCACAGGTCTGAGTTTGCTCAATGGAAGAACAAAAATACTGACAGAAGTCACTTCCCTGACCAGGAAGTTTTCGTTACTAATCATGTGTGCCCCAGCTCCCCACATATACACATACTGTAAGTATGTAGAGCCTTGGGGCCCAGATCCCTCTGCAGGAGGGTGCACACAGACCTCCTGTCCCAGCCTGAACTAGGGGGTGAGGCAATTCAAGGGATTTCACACACACACTACTACGTCTCTGCTTGGAAGTTTTTTTTTTTTTTTTTTTTGAGTTAGAGTCTCACTCTGTCACCCAGACTGGAGTGCAGTGGCCGCTCCCGGCCACCGCAGCCTCGACCTGCTGGGCTCCAGTGATCCTTCCGCCTCAGCCTTCTGAGTAGCCGGAATTACAGGTGCGCGCTACCATGCCCGGCTAATTTTTTGATTTTATTGTAGAGATGAGGTCTCGCCTGCCCAGGCGGATCTCGAACCCGCGGGCTCAGGCAATCCACTCACCTCAGCCTCCCAAAGGCGCGGGATTACAGGCTGAACCACCGAGCCCGGCTGAAAGTTTTTACCTGATAAGCCCTACGTTATATTCTCACCATGTGGAGCTAAGGGTTGTATCTGTAATCTCCTTCTAAGACCAGGGTCTAAATTCTCACATGGTCCCCAGGGACAACAGCTCCCACTTGGATCTCAGAGTGAGCTGTATTTTGGGCAAGCTCTCATATAGTGACAACTAAAGAGTAAGAAAATGTAAGTATTGTCCATCAAGACTTTAAAAGACCATAGTCCAATACACTATGTATTTTTTCAAAATTAGATTAAGGGATTGGTGATACTAAAAAAAAAAAAAAAAAAAGTAGCAACTGTCGTCATTGTCAGCATTGGTAAAGATGCTCTCAAACACTGGTGAGAGTGTAAAATGAGCCACTTCCCTGGGTGGTACCTACAACATATGTGCTCCCTCTGAGGTAGAAATTCTACTTCTGACTTTTTATCTTAAAGGAATAATTTTAAATGTGTGCACTGATTTGACTGTAAGGACCCTTTATAATAACCAAATCATTATAGTATAGAAAAAATGGAAATAACTCACATCCAATAGTAAACTGGCTATTTAAATGATAATATAGCCATTTAAAATAATATCATATAAACTTAGTGTTGCAATAAGATGCTCATGAAAGACTGTGAGTTTTCAAAAGGCAAGTTTTAACATGAGTTTTTTTAAAAATCGGTATTATAGCATGATCCCATTTTTGTTATTTAAAAAGGAAATATCTATCGATGAACTTCATATGTACACACATTTACATCTAAACTTAATTCTAAGACGCTAGACAGACTAGTTGCCTTAAGGGTGCTGTAATCTCTTGCTCACATGGCTGATTTCTATCACAGCAGGCTCAGGCAAGGAGTAAATCAACAAACTCCCCTGCCTTGACACTCCCAACCAGTCAGCCACAAATGGGTTTAGCAAACAGGTAATCTGAGAATAAAGAAAATAAATCTGCCTGAAAGCTACCTGTTTGTCTTTCCAGCCTGGGAAGTGGGGCTAAGCCAACACCTTCCTGGATCAAAACCCACAGAGTAAGACTCCAAAAGGAAATAGCTTACATGGGTGCCGGGTTCCAGGAGGTATAAACCTAAATACTCTACAGCAAATCATTCCTGCAGGAAAGAATCAGGGAAGGAAAGACAGGAAGTACAAAGGAGGCAATAGGGAAGTGGTTCCACTGGAGAATCGATCAAGGGTCTGGCTACTCTTGCAGGGAAGGAGACTGGTTTCAGAGGCGAAGGGAGAAGTTCTCCTAGCCAGGCACCAGCAAAGAGAAGATGGAACCAAGCACCACTGTCTGGCCCATACTCACGCAGTCCAGTGCTTAGAGTCACCTAACAAAGCCCTTGGGCAGACGGCATGACAACAACCAGAGGAGTTTTCTAGGTCTGTGCCCACCTTTGTGCAGTAAAAGTCATCGTCCTTCAGTGGGAGAGAAGGAAACCCTCTGCTCTGAAGTGGGGAAACCGGTGGCTAGCCTTTCAGGTCCCAGTTTCTCCCTTCCCCTCACCCAGAGCCTACCCAGCATATAGACACCCACCGTTCAAGCTCAGCTCCAGACCCTGGGGCTCTTCCCTCTGTTCCCCTCATTTAGAGGTAGTGTCTTCAGGGAGAAGAGACCCACAGCCCCCAAAGGGGAGAAGGAAAGAGCAGTCATATTACCTGCATTGCGCCGGCACATGTTCATGTCAGCCACCTGCTTCCAGGTGTTTGTTCCAGGGTCATAAACCTCAACGCTCTTCCTCACCAAGGGCCCATCATGCCCACCTGTGGCATACAGCTGTCCGCTGAGCACTCCAACTCCTGAAAGGCAGAGCACAGTGTCCCAGCCTCAGGCTGGCTAAGGGAACCAGAAGCCAGGAGGCCTGGTGCGTCCTGGACAGCCATCACCAGCAAGGTGACTTGGGGAGTGTCGTTTTGTCTCCCTGGACCTCCGTGTCCTCATCTGTAAAACAAATACAATGACACCCTGCCTGCCTCCTCTTAAGATGGGCAACCTCAAAACTTTGAAATATAAAGCACATATGATCCCATTTCTACTTTTAAAAGCATAAATATATGTATATATACATATACACACAAAAATATACGTACATATATATATAGGGAGGGAGTTCCCAAGCAAAGAAAAAAAGACTGAATGAAATTAATCAAAGTAGTTATTTCTGAATGGTAAATTACATTCGTCTTTCTTATTTACCTACCTACATAGCCTAGTTTTCCTACAATGTAGTATTACCTGTATTACCCAGCCTTATATTAGTTGAGTAAAAAAAGTTAAAAATGAAACTAGCCATATAACAGGTGTGCTGAGACCATTATTAAGGACACCTCCCTGCGGGTCTTGGAAGCAGAAGCTATTCTTTCTGTCTACTTCTTTTCTCTAGATTGCAGTGGGCGTTAGATCACTCACTGTGTTGATCAGCTGGAGTTGAGCAATGGAACTGCATTTTTACCAGTTTTTGTGTAATCTCTTAAAATTCTTTCATACACACATTGAGGAGGCAGAAGCCATAAAGAAGGAAGGCAGCAAAGCAGCTAGAAAGAGCAGCTGACCTGGTAACTAGGACAGCTGGGCTCTGGACCTGTCCCTCTAGCGCGCCCTGTTTGGTGAGCTTTTCCCTTTCTGGGCCTCAGTTTCCCATTTGTAAAGGGAGGGAACTGACTAAATTGGTAGTTCCTATTTCCCATGAACCATGGACTACTCCACTCCAAGGGCAGGTTGCATCTCACTCAACTGGGGAGCTTTATGAAAAGACGGACTTCAGGGCCTCTCTCCCAGAGATACAATGGTCAGGACTCGGAAATAGGTCCTCAGGTGCAGGCAGGTTTCAGACACAAAACCAGATTTGTAGAATATAACTGTACATGGACAAGGACCATGTTCATCTTGTTCTCGCTGCTTCCCTGGGCGTCATGGTAGTAGGCTCCGAGCAGAATGACAAAATATGTAAAATTCCTCCTGCCAATTACACTGGCAGGCTAGTGGTTCCTAGCAGTTGCCTACAACTAACAGCAGATGGTGCTGTTGTATCGGCAATGGCTCTAATAGACTTGGTTTTAATGAAATTCAGTGGGTCTGAAGTTGCCTCACCTTCCCTTCTTCCAAGTTCAGCAAGAACAAGTGCCCTCTAGGACTCAGAGACGGCCTCTTCTCCCCTTGACCATCTTCTAGTGCTGCCCAGACCCTGCATGGGAAGCAAGCTGCCTTCCAGGCACTCGGCACTGCCCCAGCGACTCTGCCCCGGCCCTCCGGCAGCCCCATCCACAAACGTTCACGCAGAGGTGTCCTGGACCTAGAACCACCATGGTTCCTGGTACCTCAGAGGACCTCAGGGGACCGAAGGTCAAGATCTCTGATCTCTGAGTCTTCAGCCAACCAAAACACCCACCACGACAAGTATGTAGGATCCCAATTCCAAAAGTGAGACTTCTACAAATCGTAGGAAGGTGAAGCGCTGAAGAAAGTTGACCTGGGACCCAGGCCCTGACAGTAATTTGAGAGAAAAGGCCTGATTTTGATTCCCTAAACCAAGGTCAGTGTGCCTCCCAGAGACACTGGCAGTTAGAGGTGTCACCCTCCAAGATTTCCTGCCTGGGTCAGAGATAGGAAGGGGCCAGGTGATGTCCACCCAGCAGTAACCATCTCAGTAGACTGGGAGACCAAGCAGCTATAGCCCCCTATAGCAACTCCTCCCCAGCGACAAGCCTGAACTGCCTGAGGCAGGGCTATCCCTGGGGCATCACACTGGGCTGCCCCATGGCACTGCTGCATGAGAGGCTCCTAGGAGCAGCTACATATCTCAGCAGCACACATCTGAATATAATCCTGCGGTGCTCCCCACCCCTGCTGAGTGCTCACCCTTCACCACACAATAGAGGATTTCTCTCTCTTTTTTTTTCATTTTTTGAGTTGGAGTCTCACTCTGTCACCCAGGCTGGAGGGCAGTGGCATGCCTGAGACTCCCCCCCCCCCCCAGTGTCGATCTGCTGGGCTCCAGCCATCCTTCTGCCTCAGCCTTCTGAGTAGCCAGAACTACAGGCACGTGCTTCCACACCCAGCTAATTTTTTAATTTATTGTAGAAACAAGGTTTTGCCAAGTTGCTGGGGCTGGTCTCGAAGTGCTGGGATTACAGGCTGTGCTATCGAACCCGACCACAATAGAGGATTTCTAGGAAGTACAAATTAGACTCTACCAAGACTTCAGAAACCAAAATTACTGAGAGACACCTATGAAGGGAAAACAATCTCAGGATTTGTGAAATGAACTAACTGGTTCTTAGGGAACATTTACTACAGCTACTCACTTCAAATCTAAAGAATTGGGAACCAGAAACACAGAAAAAGGGACTTGCCCAAGGTCATGTGGCGAATCAGAGCAGACCCAGCACTAAAACCTAGGCTTCCTGACTTCCAGGCATTTGCTCTGCTTTCAGGAAGGGCCGACCTGTCAGGCTCAGCAGACACAAACTCTCCCCACACAGCACTCCAAACACAAAAGCTTCTTAAATAGAATCATACAGATTTTTTTTTTGGTAACCAGTGAGCACACAAAGGTTCTCGAAAAATATTAAAATGGCATAATTTTTCAGAAATGCTGAGGAAGTGGTCATGTGTTTGGTACTATAAAAGGAGACTGCAACTCAATCTCCAAAAATACAAAAATGAAGAGAGAAAGGAATAACATTGTGGGGAAAAATTCCCTGTTGTGGCTTCCCTTCTCAGAAGCCATGCGGCCTTCCCACTGGGACCAGATTGGTCCTCGCCACTCACCATGGGAACCGGCAATAAGAGCCAGCATCCAGTGCCTCTGCCCACCCTCTCAGACCCTTCCCTGGACACCTCTAAGACAAAGGGACAACACAACAGGGAAGAAGGGACTGTGGCTCCACTTCCCAAAAAATCCCAAGGACCACAGAGCTTCTGGTCTCCCCACAAGAAGCAGAAGTGAAAAGCCATTTGGGAGTTGTTCTCTTTCCATGTCGGGGAGGGATTAAAGGGAGGGAGAGCGGGGGTGGGGGACATAAGCGCTCTCCAAACATGAACACTGATAGCTTGGCTGCTGATCCCCAAGACAGAAACTCCCCAGGCGAGCTTAGTTCTGTCAACTAAAGGCTCGTCCTACAGGAATGAGACTCTCATAATCTGGGGGTTTAAAAAGCTAAGTCTGGAGAATCCTGACTTTGCCTGTCATTAATCACACGACCCTGGGCAAATACTCAACCCCGGTAGACTTACTTTCTCAGTCTGTAAGTGGAATTAGTATCTACCACGTAGGGCTGCAGTGAAGATTGAGACATAGAAAGTGCTTGTTAGGGCAGCGCCTGGCACATAGTAAGTCTTCACTTTCAAAAGAAAGTGAAACAGAAGGGATGCTGGTGAGCATCCCTTCTGCCAGCATCCCCTCCATAGAAACAGAAGGGAGGCTGGTGAGGAGAATAACATCTCATCCATTCCCAGGAAAGGTTAACTTGTGAGCACTGTATCTAGCTACGGAGGTGCTAGTAGGATCATATACAATAAAAAGGAAAGAAGATGAAGGTAAAGCAAAGTTTCATGTTATGCTGTTGAACTCGAGACCCACTTATGAGCAAGACAGACACAGCCTGCACCCTGGGGCACCCCCGTACCTGCGCCACTGCGGCGGGTGCTCATGTCCGCCACGTATATCCACTCATTGGTCGCTGGGTTGTACTGTTCCACGGTGCTCAGGCACTGGCGGGAAGCCCCATCATAACCCCCAACAGCATATAGCTTCCCTGGAACAGACAAAGTGGCTGAAGGTGGCACCAGGGTCAGTGGCATGGAAACAAAGCTCGGCTGAACCTCTACCGTTAACCCACTGGGGCACCCTGACCTCAAAGTTCTAAGCCCCCTTCCTCCAGGGGCCCACCAGCTTGCTCCCCAACCTGGCAAAGCATCCTTCACGTGTCTGCATTCTACTTGCCCCTAGAGCTCCTTGGAAGCAAATACAGAACCTCTTTCAAAATAAGCACCCCCCCAAATGCCCAGCATAGAGCTATGGCTGGCACCACTGGGGCTCAACATATTCCTACTGGTGAGCTAGGTTAAATCTTATCTAGACCAAGTCACCAACACCAATAGATAGAAAGCTAGAGCACCCCCCAACCCAGCTATAGGCAGGCAGCAAGTTTTCTGGCTAAGGACTCATAACAGCAGAGGAAATAAATATGGAAATGTATTCTTCAGTGATAACCCAAAACTTGTCTTAGCCATTGTCTCCACCCCTTGCACCACCCTGGCAGGTAGAGTGTGTGAACGGTGTGTTCTCTGTGCATTCTGAGTTGGAGTGGCTGGAATTTTCTGCAGACTACCTTGTGATTTCTGAGCCACGTGCAAGAGCCCTAAAGCTCCATCATCTAGTTTTTAAATAAAAACACCATTAAGCTGATGTCCAAGAGCAACACTTCTGCCTGGGGTTGAGGGCTGAGAGGGTGGTTAGGCAAGGGGACAAAAAAACTGGTATCTGAGCTGTCCCAGAGCAAAGACTCAAACATTTTGGGCTTAACATTTAATCTCAGAATCCAATGAAATGGTCTCTTCTGTGTATGGAGAGGTGAGTTGGGGAGGAGTCCTACCCCCCTGTAGGCCTCAAACCTATGAGGAAATCATGGAATTATAACAAGGACTGTGAACACTAGGTGTAGACTAAATCAACATCGCCACATACAAATCTACTTAACAGGATTACTTAATTTGTGTGGTCATTACATGCTTTCTTTCTTTTTTTTTTTTGAGTTGGAGTCTCACTGTTGCCCAGACTGGAGTGCAGTGGCCGCTCCCGGCCACCGCAGCCTCGACCTGCGGGGCTCCGGCGATTCTTTCACCTCAGCCTTCCGAGTAGCCAGAATTACAGGCATGCGCTACCACGCCCGGCTGATTTTTTGATTTATTGTAGAGATGAGGTCTCGCTGTCCAGGCAGGTCTCAAACCCACGGGCTCAGGCCATCCACTCACCTCAGCCTCCCAAAGGCGTGGGATTACAGGCTGAGCCACCGAGCCCAGCTATTACATGCTTTCTTAATGGAGAGATACCAAGAATACAACTAGGATGTGAAAATCTGCAATTATTTTAGGTTGGAAAGATTCTCAGGCTTAAAACCACGCTCTACCATAAGAACCATCGCTGTATCAAATGCAATTTTTTCTTCTTCTATCATCATTGAGTCGTTTTTTGTTGTTGGTTTTTTTTTTTTTTTTTCTGCCTCAGAGCCCACTCAACTGATTCACCTAAAAGAAAGAAATACCTCCCCCTCGGTCTGCCCTCACCAAAGTCAGTATTTTTAAAAACCTGACTGCAAGGTGGCTCACATCTGTAATCCCAGCACTTCAGGAAGCGGAGGCCAGAGGACTGCCTGAGCCCAGGGGCTTGAGACTAGCCTGGGCAACATGGTGAGACCTCATCTCTACAAGAAACCATGAAAAATTAGCTGGGCGTGGTGGCACGCACCTGTGGTTCCAGTTACTTGGAAGGCTAAGGCAGAAGGATCGCTTAAGCCCCTCAGGTCGAAGCTGTGGTGGCCGTATCACTGCACTCCAGCCTGGGAAACAGATTGAGACTCCGACTCAAATAAATAAATAGATGCCATTAAAAACCTGACTGCACAGCTCCTCCAGGGCCCAGGCTACTTGCAGGGTGTATGCTGGTTCAGACATAACAATCTATGTAACACACACTCCGCTCTGCTGGGGAGCTTCTGTCTACACTCTGATTCTCACTGTCCCTTTTCCTAAGTAGAGATTCTTCATTGCAGCCAGTAGCAAATTATTCTCATTTCCTCCGTTTCTTTTTTTTTTTTCAGAGTCATTCAGACTATATAGCCATGGTAACGAGATGAAGAGAGGGAGGAAAGTCAGCCAGGCAGTGTGGAGAACCATCTCATCAAGACCACCGCGAAATGGGGTCCACTTAAGTTCCTCCCTCAACATTCTCACCAGAGCTGTAAATTGCACTCTGCCACCCCAGGGTGACCCACAGCCCAGAGAGATTCGGGTTCAGGAGGGGCAGGAGAAACGAGTTTCCAGCCTGTCCCTGCTCTCACCTCAGCATGGCAGCAGGGCATGCTATAAGACTGCACTTCTTCCACACACAGAACATGCTCACAAAAGCCTTTGTCAAGGGGAGCATTTTTAATTACTACCATTAAGGCATCTCCTCTAACCCCCATCAACTGTTCCATCTGCATCAGCTAAAAAAAAAAAATAGCCATTCAAGGTTTCTCCTTGAGTCTATTAACCGTGGTTAGCTATTTTTAACCCCTACTCTATTGTTTGATATTCCTGGCTAAGGAACAAGGGGAAAATGAGAAGGTGGCTAGACAAAGCACTTACATTTGGCAGACAAATCAATTTCTGTTCCACCAGGAGGATGAGACTGCAAGAAACAATTTATCTTGGTAGGGGGACAAAATCCTTGCCCTCACTAAGATGACTTGTTTAGTATGCTGGAATAATACACCTTTAAATGAAAATGTAAATCACATAATACCGGTACAGACTGAGAAATGCAGTGAGAGAAAAGAATCTTTCTATTAATGTCTAACTCACTGGCCATTATACTCCCCCCAAAGCACATTTGTATTTGCATGCATGTTCTTGTGAGTGCTCATGAGAGAGGTGGAATGTCTGCGCACGTGTCTGAGTGAACAGATGTTCCAGCTAGGTTCTCGCATCAAGACTGGTTACTGAATCAGTGTTGTCCTGCAAACTGCAATGTTTTAGTTCAAATAATATACTGTGCCTTAGTGCATTAAATTCACACATATTTATAGAACTCCTACCTGTTAGCAACTGCTAATGGTCTGAAGGAACATAGCACGGTGGGGAGAGCAATGGGTTGGGAATCAAAAGACCTGGATTCAGGAACTGGTTGTGCTATTTACTACCATTGTAATGTAGGGCACATCACTTAACCACTCTGGGACCCAGTTTCCCCACCTGGAAAATGGAGAAAATCTGAGTTCTGCCTATCTCCTCCAGAAGGGTTTTATAAACAAAACCAGAGACTGGCTATGAAAGTTCTTTACACACAACTGTACCCTGTCTGCAGAGCCCCAGACCTTACCACTGCCTCCTGCTTTACTCTGCACACCTTTCCTGACTAGAGCTGGGCTCCACCGCCAACCTGCTCTGCACAGAAAGTCATCAGACCTGGAAAGAACTGCTCACCTCCCTCCCGGCTTGGTTCATGTTCAACATTAACAAAATTAATTGGACACAATTAACTGTCACCCCCACCACATTATCCTCCTGGGTCCTAGATTAACTCTGAAGTCCCCACTCTCTCCCCCTCCCCAGCCTCTAGCAGAGCTCCTGATAAGTGGCTAGAGTGACAGGCCGGCATCTCCTCCACAGGCTCCTCTCACTCCCCCAAACCCAGCTCCAACGCTCAGCAGACTTGGGCCAGGAGCTTTACCCCTCCGAATCTCAACTTTCCTCATCTGTTAAATCAGGACAAGAGCACCTAACTGAGAGTAGTGATCTGAAGAAGGGACCAAGGTAGAGGAAGTGCCAGGCATGATGCTGGATCCAGGACAAGGCTGTGGACTGGGACAGGCCTGGTGCCATCCACTGCTGCCTCCTTACCTTCCACAACGCCCACACCCACACTGCTCCGCCGTGTGTTCATCGGGGCCACAAAGAACCACTCGTTGGTCTTGTAGCTGTAGGCTTCCACCGATGCTAGGCCTGGGAGACAAGAGACTAGTGAGACTTCCATGGTACCACGCCTCATCCTACTGTGGGTGGAACCATGAGGATGGGGGAAGAGTCCACACACGGGGGCTGGAAACCTGGCTGCATGGTTCAATGCTATCTGTGGCTCATGTGCAGCCTGTGGCAACTTCCTGAAACACACCTGCAGTGTCTACCTGAGGAGACCACTAAGACTTGACTCAGGGGTGGGTTGTGAGAGGACAGGGGTATACCTGAACTGCATGGCAAATGCAAAGTACTAAACAGAATGGAATAGTGTGATTCCAAGTAGACACTTGAGGTTGCCTTCTCCCTTAGATTCCTCTACCTTAGGTGCTAGAAAGCTGAACACTTGCCTTCCAAGACTTCCTCACAGCCAGGGTTAGCCAAATCAATAAGACCTAAGCAGATGTCTGATGGTGATTTCTGAAATCGCCTTTGCTTTTCTGATACAGGTGCCATCACTTTCTGCTTTTTGCTCCCTGCAACACAGATGTGTTGGCTGGAGCTATAATAGCCATCTTGTGATTATGAAGAAAAAGCCAATGCATCTTAAAGAACTTGGCCCAATGATCCTTGAGCAACTGGATCAAATCAGGAGCAGCTGACCTCTGGCCACCTTTGTTCCATGAGTAAAACAAAATCTCACATTTTTAAAGCCACAGTTTAGTCAGATTTTCTACTTTTAGCCAAAAGCAAATCCCCAAAGAAACGATGCATCATTACCCTTTGGTTCTCCTTATCCCCAGGTCCCACTCACTACAGGCAGCCTCCAGAAGGGCTAAGGAAAAAAATACTGTTTTTCACCTTCCCCAAGGCCAAAGGATAGCATTTTGGTTTAACAGAGTTACCGCCTGCAGAGATGTCTACCTGGCAACATGAGTAGAGATGAGATGATCTCTCCAAGTTCATGTTCGTCATGGTTTCAGATTGGAATTCTGAAGTTAGATAACATCCAGGAGCAAGGCTCATGAGTAATGTACAAAGCCTTGCAAAGCTTCAGTGGGGTGGTAGAAAGAACAAGGGAAAAAACGGGCACCCTGTCCTGCTGCATGGCCTGAGCCCGGTCTCCCTCCAACTGCTGAACCTCAGTTCCTTTGTCTATTTGGTAGAGGGTCAGACTAGAGTCCTGTGGTCTCCCCAGCTAAGTATGTGCTCTCTTTAAGTCTCATCTTCTGAGTTAACAGGATCTCAAGCACTGGAAAATAGGAAAGGGACTCTTCTGAGTGTGGGATCCTTTCTAGAGCCCTTGAAATCACAGTACTTGGGGGGTTACATATTCTTTGTGTAAGAAGCTCCCAAAGTTGGATGAGGAAGAAGGATGAACATGTTCCTGGGGCAAGTAGTAGCTACACATGGACAGAAGACTGACCGAAGAACTGAATGAACAAAGGGTGTGTCACAGCACGGAGGGTGTGTCACAGCCTGGGAGGGATGGGGAACACGTCCTGGACCTACCAGTACTGCCATCAAAGCCTCCCACTGCGTAGAGCAAGTCATTGAGCACCGCCGCGCCCAGCGTGCTCCGGCGCTCCTGCATGCTGGCTATGGACGTCCACTGGTCCTTCACACCGTCATACACGTCCACTGTCCGCACCCTCAGTGAGCCGTTAAACCCTCCGACGGCATACACGTGGCCAGCCATGAACACCACACCTGAGGCACAGGAAACCAAGGCATCAGCGCATCAAGGTCAGGGCAGGCAGCTGACTGCTCGTGTTGACGGTGATGGAGGGGTGGTGAGGAAGGTACATGAAAGCTCACCACAGGAGGTAATCTCCAGCTTTAGATATTTGGAAGTCATTATGGCACTGGATTTCTTTCCTATTTGCTTTTTGAATGTTGTCTGATTTAAGTAAACACTGGAATTAGATTGCACTCCCCAAGCACAAGAGAACTGGCCCCAGAAGAGGTAGCCAAAAACCATACCGATGGGGAGGGAATGGGAGCCTGAAGGCACAGATGTTGGAGGAAACAAGGAACAGCTCGTGACTCTAGCACTGAGCAGAAACCAGCCAGGGAAGGACAGCCTGCAGAACTGGGGGGCGATGCTGCTCACCTGCTCTACATCTCCGAGAAGGAAGTTCAGCAATCTGGTCCCAGCGGTCCTCCTCAAAATCATAGCACTCCACGCTGCGGATGGCCTTGGGCGCCTGGCCGCCAACCACAATCATGACCTCCAGAAAGACAAGTGGACGTTAGCTGGGTCTCCCCAACATTCAGATTAGCGAGTGACCAATCCCCGGCACTTTCAGGATCTGTGAGTGATCTGAGATGCCAGTTTCCGGAGCTACACATATAGAAATACTGCCCCTCATCACCCACAGATATGCATCATCAAGAAAAGTCTCACAAGCATCTTTCCACAGAGACACAATCATAAGATCTATGTTTCCCAAATGCCCTGCTCAGGGCTGTGTTGTGGGTTATGTGAAGCTGCTTGGGACGTCTTCTGCCATCTCACTATCCTCGGGATTGAAAGAGAGGGTGCTAAAGATTACATCAAAACATACTGGAATATGTTTGGGGAAAGAGTGCAGAATTTGAATCTATTTTTAAGATAAAATTATTACCCCCAAACACTCCTGAATGTCTAGACTTCAAGGGGCATTTATTCACTGCAGTACAGAAAAAACAAAAATGTGAAACACTGCTTTGCAATGGTTACCACAAAACTTATTAAATCGCTGACGTTCTGAAAAACAGTGCCATTTCCACAAGTAAGGTAGTAGCTACCAAAGCCAGGCACCATGTGAAATGTGTTGTCATTTGCTTGTCACCATGACTGCGAGGTAGAGATTATTATCCACATTGACAGGTGAGGAAATTAAGTTCAGAGAGCTTATATAAATGGCCCAAGGTCACACAGCCAAGAGTGTGAACAGAGACTGAAACCCAAGTCTACCTGACACAGGGCGAGGCAACCAGCAAACTTTTAATAGTAAAGCACAAAAAATATCATAGTAGGGGTGTTATTTCATATGGGTGGTTTTATGCACCTATATGTGTCTTCTGGGTAGCAACTTAAACATATTATTTATTGCAGCACAGGGTTCAAAAAATGAAAGCTACTGCCTTGGCTAGGTTAATAGAACTGCAGTGCTTAATTGTGGTATCCCTATTGTTGTGACTTTTGACACACATTATTAATAAATAAAAATTAAAGTATCAAAGTTGCCTATATATGTATATGTATATTTTATTAAACTTGTGCAAATTCACAGCTATCCCCACAATGACATCAGTCTCACTCCATGGCATCCAACATACTTTTTTGAGTGGAGAGAAAGGGGTAGACGTCAAAGCCAGCCAGTGTAAGTCACATGACCTGCAGCCTGGCTTATTTACCCAGCAGTTCTCAAACTTCAGTGTGCAGCAGAATCGCCTGGAGAGCTTGTAAAAAACTCAGATTGCCAGACCCTTTCCCCAGAGTTTCTGATTCAGTGGGTCTGGAGTGGGGCCATGAATTTGCCTTCCTAACAAGCTCTCGGGTGCTGTTGCTCCTGCTGGGCTGTTCTAGAATTTGTACTTTGAGAATCACTTTTTTAACCCACGGCCTATGGGGTTTTTCTGATGATATGCCATTAACAATTTCTGCCATTATGAATCCTTGCAGTGCTTTTTACTTCCACACAATGTATTTTTGAGGAGAGGAGTGATCATCAAAACCTGTGTGAGCTCTCAGGAGCTCAGGCCTCAAGTGAACACTCTCCACCACAGGAGACAAAACCAGAGGTGACAACCATTGCTTCATGCCCTAAGAGTTCAGATTCAGGCTAATCCACTGCCCATGGTTATCAGAGTTATTCCACAGAGTTGTGACCAATGTTCAAAAACTCAGAAATCTATTCTGTCTTCTACAGTATTCCAAAGTAACCCAGGACACACAGTACAGGGGTGAGCTGCCGCTGCTTCTGGAAATGAACCTTCTGTACTTGACTTTCCTACATGCCTCAGCTCAGAGGGTCCACGGCTTTGTGTCAAGAGCAGCCTTTTTCAGAGAAAAGTTGCATTCTACATGACTTTCCATGTGTACTTCTTTGCCTAGATAGGCATCCACGAACAGTTCAAGGGAGGTTTTTTTTTTTTTTTGAGTTGGAGTCTCACTCCATCACCCAAGTGGGAGTTCAATGGCATGCTCACACCACCCTAGCCTCAATCTGCTGGGCTCCAGTGACCCTTCTGTCTCAGCCTTCCAAGTAGCTGGAACTACAGGCATGCGCTACCACACCCAGCTCATCTTTTTATTTATTGTAGAGATGAGGTCTCAGCAAGTTACCCAGGCTGGTCTCAAACCCGTGGGCTCAGGCAATCCACTTACCTCGGCCTCCTAAAGTGCTGGGATTATGGGCTGAGGCACCAAGCCCAACCAGAAGATGTTAATGAACACATGGTGGCAAACTTCAGACAATGCCCCACTTACTCCTCCAGGGCAGGACGACTTGCTCTATGTTCCTAAGCATGCCTAGAACTTGCATTGCCCTTCTGATTTTGAGTTGATTAAGCTCAAAACCAGAAATGACAGCAAAATATGGAAAGGATTTTCTTTGAAATCGGGTTTCTGGGGTCAAGTGAGAATAAAACCAGTTTTTAGTTTTCTTTCTGCTGAGATTTCAGGCACCCTACACCCTCACACACGTTGCTCCCTCACTTTCTTCCCCCTTTCTGTTCCCTCTGCTTTATGCTTAATGCTTCTGAAACATTCTTCCCCCTTTCTGATCCCTCTGCTTTAACACCTGCTTATCTTTCAGGTATCAGTGTACATGTCACTTCCTCCAAATGAACTTCCGTGTCCTCCAAGTCAGAGCTACATGTCCCTCTGAGATCTCACCTGCTCTGTGTGTTCCACTCGGTGCTGTAACTGTCTAGTGACTGGCCTGTCATCCTCTAGACAGTGAACCCTGCCAGGGCAGAACATTTATCTGCCTCAGTCACCATGGCAACTCCTTATGTTGCCAGGTTAAAATAGGCTCAAATATTTACTTGGAATAAAAATTAAAAAATTAAAACTGGATAACACATGCAAGGAGTTAACAACAAAAACACACAGTTAAATTTTTTAAGAATACAAAACTGGAACATCATTTTCTTTGGTTAATACAGGTTGGAATGCCAGATTACAGTTCTGGGGTCACTGAGGAAAACAAGCAAAATAAAAAGAGAAAGTAGCCGGGCTCGGTGGCTCAGCCTGTAATCCTGCGCCTTGGGAGGCTGAGATGAGTGGATTGCCTGAGCCCGCGAGCTCGAAACCCGCCTGGGCAACTTGGTGAGACCTCATCTCCACAATAAATAAAATAAAAATTAGCCGGGCATGGTAGCGCACACCTGTAGTTCCAGCCACTTGGAAGGCTGAGGTGGAAGGATCACCGGACCCCAGCAGGTCGAGGCTGCGGTGGCTGGGAGCGGCCACTGCACTCCACTCCGGGTGACAGAGTGAGACTCCAACTCAAAAAAAAAAAGAGAGAGAGAGAAAGTAAGAGTTTTTCCCATATCTTGACTTGTTCTTTGCATAAGGTATCAGGCTTCCTCTGTAGATTAAAAAAAGGCAAAGCTTTCATAAAACCTCACCATGCCCCAGAAACTGTCTTCCACCAGGGATGGTATATTTGTATTGGAGAAAAATCTACCACTTGTTTCTGAGAATTTTCATAGTGACACAAAAACAATATTATAGAAATGCCAAAAAAATTGATATTTAAACCTGAGCAGAAAAACAAAAACAATACAAGACAAAGCTTTCAAAATAAGCTTGCCTTTGAGCTCATAAGGCCACTAGTAAGAGATGACTTTTTTTTTTTTTTTTTTTTTAGTTGGAGTCATGCTACCACCGCCTCAACCTGCTGGTCTCAGGTAATCCTTCCACCTCAGTCTTCCAAGTAGCTGGAACTACAGGCACGTGCCACCACACCCGGCTAATTTTTTTATTATTATTTATTGTAGAGACGAGGCCTTACCAAGTTGCCCAGGCTGATCTTGAACCCCTGGTCTCAGGCAATCCTTTCGCCTTGGCCTCCCAAAGTGCTGGGATTATAGACTTGAGCCACCGTGACCGACGAAGAGATGGCTTTTAACATCCAAGACTTGTGCAACTATCTGAGAAGAGGAATTATGAAGTTTTGTGAGATAGGGCCATGTTTCAGAGAGAGCTCAAGGCAGCAAGGAGAGCAGGTACACGTTCTGCTTCTCTCACAGATGAAAGAAAACCAATTTTCTGTTTTATTTTTATTTGACACTAATCGTCATACATATTTATGGGATACAGTGTGATGTTTCAATACATGTATATGGGGGGACCCCCCCAAAAAAATGGAATTATTTTTTGGAGGGAGGGTCCCTTGTAGCACACTCAGAATTTGTTCCTCCGGCTCAAATGGTCAACCAAAGTTTTTAACTGAAAGTTTTGAGACGGTTATGTCATGATTTGTGGAGGAAATATTCCAAGGTGTAGCAAACAGGTGACTAACTCTTTCACCATGACAATGCACCTGCCCACATTGCACCAAGTGCTTCAGTGGTTTTTGAACAAAAGCAGCATGGGCCCCGTGCCCCACCCTCCCTATTCGCCTGATCTCACCCCAAGCGACTTTGTTTCCACAGATGAAAAAAGTCCTCAAAGGGAAACATTTTACTGATGTGGAAGAGGTAAAACAAAAAACGACAGAAGCACTAAAAGGCATCAAAATGGACGAGTCCAAAAACTATTTTGAGCAGTGGAAAAAAGCATCTCAATAGGTGCATTACATCAAATGGAGACTACTTTGAAGGTGATTGAAATTTAAAACACATAAGACTAAATACACAATTTTTTATCAATAAATTCCAGGTATACATTGTGTAATGATCAAATCAGGGTAGTTGGCATACCCACATCTCAAACATTTATCATCTCTTTGTGGTAAGAAAATTCAAAATCTTCCCTTCTAGGTATTTTGAAATATACAATACATTATTGTTAACTATACTCACCCTGCTGTGCAATAAACTCCAGAGCTCATTCCTCCTACCTGTAACATACTACCCATTGACAAACCTCTCTCCATACCCCTCCCCTCAACCTTCACCAGCCTCTGATCTTGACTTCTGAGATCAGCTTTTTAAATTCCATGAGTGAATTAGCCATGTGCAGTAGCGCACGCCTGTAGTTCTGGCTACTTGGAAAGCTGAGGCAGGAGGATTG